ACTTTAAGCCTATTTTGTGGTGACAATGAGAAGAGAAGAAAACGCAGTACAACCTCTCATCAAAGACAATGTTGAAAATGTAAGACATAAAAAATATATCAGTGAGGAATGCATACTTTTTGACAACTAATAATGTGTTTGCAAGACACATTTGACCCAATAACTGAATTACTTTATTGTTTGGTATCTTCTATTCAGGTGCACCTTTCAGGGCTTGGAGCAGGAATTGGATGTAAGATACTCAGAAGCAAGTTCTTTATACCTTTCACCTACTTACAAAGCATGTTTAGGAACATACCCTGAAGAATCATCACTGACCTGACTCACACTGCAATGAGCCATGTGATGAAAACCACTCTGATGAGGGAGTTATCAGCCCATCAGAACCCCCTAACAACAACTAACACCCCCCAGGTGACCTCCATGGCCAATCCAGTAGGAGAGATCAGAGCAACCTTTTGTTAAGAGCAGGAATGGACATCCACAAAGCAAACACATTAGAGAAAAAAAAAATCATATGGATTGAGTGTCTGACAAGAAATTAAATTTAAAGGAAATGTAAAGTGAATTCCTCTTTATTTAATATCTTCAGGTTTTACATTTTGATTGGTGTTTGTGGTCGAATGACTGCCTTCTTGTTTAGCTGTGTTCTTGAGTTTTTTTTTTTTCCCCATTTCAGTGTTCTTTATTGTAACACAGATGCTGAATTCTTAGATGAATGAGTTTAGTTTGATCTTTTATTCTTTGTACATCTAGAAATATCTTTATTCAACTACACTCAGGTTAAATAGTTATCATTTAGGTCACTGTTTTCATACTGTCATACTAGCTTTGAATTTCCTCTTATCAGCTCATCTAGTTTGTTTTACATCTAACACCATTTTTTATTGTTCAACCTGAATCGTTCAATGCTGCATCAATCTATAATATGTTTAATTTCTTAGTATTTCTTCCAGTTTCTCAACCCATTTCATGATTCTGCCCTTTCTGTGCAGGTTCTGCTTAAGTTTTCTTTTTGAGTTTTCAGTTACACTTTGATTTATATCATTCTGTGTTTTCTAGGTAATTGATTTAATTTCAATTTTGTGTCATTCTATTTATTTTTCTGGTTTTATTTGACCTCTTATGTATTTCTTGTGTACTCTCTATTACCCCCTTGTGGCAGTCTCCTTTCCCTACCTCCTTCTACTTTCTTCTGTCCACACCTGCTCCAAATCATTTGATTATTCCTTTGTTCTGTTTGGCATATATACTCATCCTCTGCAGTTACTTGTTGCTGGATTCTCATCATTCCTCCCTATACCGTATACCTATGTCTTCCTCTGCATTTTAGTTCATGGATTAGTTATTTCTGAATTTATGCTTCTGTTGCAACAGCTCATTGTTAACTCTGCAAGAAACCACCTGAGCTTGCTTCTCTGCTTTTGGGTCCTTTTTCTCTATTGATTTGAGTAACATTATAAGGCTGTTGAATTTCCTGTCAGTTAAGAGGAGATACAGAGTGTGAGGAAACTAAGCATCTGATTAACTTTGTGCTGTGTTTTTCTTCCTTCCTTTTTTATATTTGTGACACGATTTGCAGACATTGCAACATGCAATTAGGATGCTGAACACTTTAGTAAGACTTTAAAATAAACCATAGGTAAAAACGTATTTGCAGATAACATTTCTTTTTATTGATTCACAATGGATTGACATAAATGACACCTCAACATGCTCCTTGGACTTAATCGGAGATTGTCCACACAAAAATAGTCTTCAGGCGTTATCTTAATACGTTTTTTCTAAAAATTGTTTTTATTAGAAATCCCAAGCTCTCTGAGAACCTCACAAGGTTTATGGTAAAACAGCTAATCGGAACAAAAGATAAGGCGATTGTAATTTCTTCAGGGAAAGAGCAGCAATGTGATGTCTGCTTGATTAAAGCACCACCTGACCCTTTTCTGAGGGAGAGAAACATTAGTTTTAGAATGTAGATGCATATTTTGTTAAATTCTGAGGACATATGTTGCCAATGATTGAAAAAAAAAAACAGACATAGGGTTATGAAAAC